AACTCCTTTGTATACTTTTGTCTTTTGATGCTTGTCAGGATGTGAAGAATCGGCGAAACCCTCGTCTGGTTCCTTACACTCTGCTGGATGAGAGAACCAAAAAGTCCAACAAAGACAGTCTGAGAGAGGCCGTCAGGACTCTGCTGGGTTATGGATACACCCTGGAAGCTCCTGACCAGGACCATGGTACAATACTTACCAATTTATTCAGTGACTTCTCATTTATTTTATGATACTGTATATGTGGTGCAAAAGTGACAACCTTGTTTACACATGTAAAACAATGAAATGCAAGATGTTATTTTTCCATGATTATATATCCATATTGCCATCTTTCCCATTCTCTCTCCCTGCCCTCTCCCATCTAGCAGCTCAGTCTGACCTCAGCAACATGTCTGCTGAGAGGTTCCGCATTTTTAGAGCAGAGAAAACCTACTGTGTAAATGCTGGAAAGTGGTACTTTGAACTGGAGGTAAGAGGAGATGATGGTATTGCTCTAAAATATATCAGCCATTGGTAGATGGAATTTTAATGCTTACTGTAATGATTATTAGAATTTTAACCTATGTTAAAGTTAATTCCAACAATATTTAACAGCATTCACAGTAGCCCTCGATGCGCTAGGGTAACAGACTGCTGGAGGAAATGGTACAACATTTTTCCAAGATGTTGTTGCTATTCCACATATGTTTTTTGATTAATTGTAATCCTTCAGGTGTTGACAGCAGGAGAGATGAGGGTGGGCTGGGCTAAACCAGGATGCCTCCCAGACCAAGAGCTGGGATCTGATGACCAGGCCTTTGTGTTTGATGGCTTCAAGGTGACTGGATTTTCTTAGCTCTTGCAGTCATATTACACATCCCATTTCCTCAGTGCGTATCACTGAAATTTATGTCTTCTGCTTACTCAGCACTGAATACAACCCCAGCTTGTGCTAGATTTTAATATTCTCAAAATCATTGGTCATAAATGTATTTTTATTTTCCCAGGTCCAGCGCTGGCACCAGGGGAATGAGCACTTTGGGCGTGCCTGGCAGGCAGGGGATGTAGTGGGCTGCATGGTGGATCTGAATGAACACACCATGATGTTCACACTCAATGGAGAAGTCCTGCTGGATGATTCTGGCTCTGAGCTGGCCTTCAAGGACTTTGAAGCTGCTGAAGGTCAGGCCTGTGTTATTGAAAACACATATGAATGCTTTCATCCCTTGTGGGGACTTGTGCTACCTACCTGAAGCAACCTGGCTGCATTGCAAGGGCTGTGGTGCATCTCTTTTGTCTTGCTGGTGTTTAGTACCAGGTGGCTTTTCTCACACCACTCCACAAAGTCAGTAACAATCCCCCTGTATTCCCCCTTGTACCCCCCAGATACACATCCAACAATAGCAGTGTCATCTGAGAACTTTTGTAGATGACACTGGTGGGAGTTGTACTTGAAGTCTGACATGTAGCGGGTGAACAGAAAGGGGGAAAGCACCGTAACCTGGGGCGCCCCTGTGCTGCAGACTACCACGTCAGACACACAGTCACGCAGCCTGAAAAACTGAGGTCTGTTTGTGAGGTAGTTAATGATCCATTCAGACAGGTGTTGGTCCACGCCTGCCCCCTCCAACTTCCCCCTCAGCAGTGTTGTACCTCGTACTTTTTACCATACTGACTCTGAGAGACGAGACAGTCCAAGTAACTTCAAAACAGTGCTGATTTATTCAAAGGATCACAAGTAAAATTAACATTGCACGCTCAGGTATCTTGCACCTCCAAACTGCTCGCAGGCAGATGTAAGATGAAAGACCCTGAACCCACCAGGCCTATACATTATATCACTTCGGTTGGGCTAGCCCCATACTACACAGAAACGTCAACCGAGACGTCTCTGTTACCAGCTCTGCAGCTGGTCATAGCAGTAGTCAAAACATGAAGTAAATCAATGTGTGTGTCTGTTGGTTAAATGGTGTGTAACTAAAAACATTCTCACAGACTTCTAGTACATGTCGTGACTTAAACATAAGAACATATTATGGCTAAGGCTACAGTTATACACGTCATAATAATAATATTAAACACCCTGTCTGCTGACAGTCATCAACTCTTCTCTCTAGTTATCCTTGACCAGATGTACCCTGTAGAAACTCATAAGCATGACTAAGCATTTAACAGTCTAACTAGACATCCTATCTCCACTAAACATTTCTAATACAAAAAGTATCAGTACAGCCTGACAGTAGCTTAACATGCTCCTGGAACCTGGCAACAACTTGCTATCATCAGGTCTTAGCTGCCAGAACCAATGGAAAAAGTGTCTTACTTTAATCATTTGCATTAGGAGTGACCACCTGTGTCTTTAGGACAATCCTCTCCATGGTCTTCATCAGGTGGGAGGTCAGGGCAACGGGTCTGTAATGGTTTGGCTCCTTGGGATGAGTTATTTTAGGAACTGGGACAAAACAGGATGTCTTCCACAGAACCAGAATTCTCTCCAGGCTAAGACTCAGGTTAAACATGTACAGGACCACTTCACTGAGCTGGTCTGCACACTCCCTGAGGACCCTGGGGCTGATGTGGTCAGGGCCTGTGGCCTTCCTGGCTTTAATCCTCCTTAACTCCCTCCTGACCTGGTCCACCGTGAAGCTGAGGGTACGGGTGGGCGGTGACTGTTCAGGATCTGTGGGCTGTTGAGAATCCCCCATGACAGTGGGAGGAGGGGCAAGATCTGGCTGAGGTGTGAGCAGCTGTAGCTGCGAGGAGACAACTGACCCGGAGAGGTGAGATGGGGGGCTGGCAGGGTGAGGGCTAAGGACTGGGTAGAGTCAAATCTGTTAAAAAACAGATTCAATTCATTTGCCCAGGCCTGGTCTCCTGCAGCCTGGTGACCATCCCTGCTACCATTTCTGTGACCCGAGATGTGTTTTAGTCCTTTCCACACCTTGCGTACAGTACGTTGTTATTTTCCATGCTCTGCTCCAGCTTCTTCCTGTAGCTAGCCCTGCACCTCTGGATCATGTACTTTAGCTCCTGCTGCACCCTGCTCAGCTCCTCCTTGTCCCCTGATAAGAAAAACCTCTTCTTCTCATTCAGCAGTGCCTTTAACTCGGGGCTCACCCATGGCTTGTTATAGGGAAAACACCGTACTCTTCTGGATGGCACCGTATTTTCCACACAGAAGTTTATGTAATCTGAAATATAGTGTGTGAGGCCATCTATGTCCTCTCCATGAGGACTACAGAGGATGTCCCAGTCTGTGGTGTTAAAACAGTCCCTCAGCTGCTCAATTGCCTCCTCTGTCCATACCTTTACTACCCTGACCTGAGGTGACACCTTTTTCACCACTGAGTATACACAGGAAGCAGGTGGACAAGGTTGTGGTCTGAGCGACCTAGAGGGGGGAGGGGGGCAGAGGTGTATGCATTTCTGGCATATGCATACAGTAGGTGCAGTAATTAACATACTGTTTGAAGTTAGGGAGGGTGGCAGAGAAGGGGAGGGAGGCATGGTTAAAGTCCCCTGAGATGAGGATTAAAGCATGTGGGTGTTGTGTCTGCAGCCAAGACATGGTGCTCTGCGCGTGCTCGCAAGCAGATGGTAAATGGTCTTATACTTGTATAGCGCCTTTCTATGCTTTACAGCACACTCAAAGCGCTTTCACATTATTCAGCCATTCACCCATTCGCACTCCCAAGCACTCACGCATTCACACACCAGTGACATCACCGGGAGCAACTGGGGGTTCAGTGTCTTGCTCAAGGACACCTCGACATGTTGACTGGACAAGCCGGGAATCTAACCGCTAATCCTCCGGTTAGGAAACGACCCGCTCTACCTCCTGAGCCACAGCCGCCACCATCACCACAATTACATGAGAGTACTCCCTGGGAATATAGTACGGCCATGCACTGACAGCTAATAGTTCAATGTCTCTGCTACAGAATTTTTCCTTAACAGTAACATGTCTGGGATTGCACCATCTGTTATTTATGTACACAGCTACCCCCATAATGTTACACCATGTAATGCATGTAATGATTAATCACAGTATTTGGTTTCTTCTGTGTGTCTCAGGCTTGATCCCAGTCTGCAGTCTAGGTGTGTGTCAGGTGGGCAGGATGAACTTTGGTAAAGATGTCAGCACTCTTAAATATTTCACCATCTGCGGCCTGCAGGAAGGTTATGAGCCCTTTGCTGTCAACATGAACCGAGATGTCACCATGTGGCTCAGCAAGAGGCTGCCACAGTTTGTGTCTGTCCCCACCAACCACCAGCACATACAGGTGAGGTAATTCACCTAGAATGCACTCTGTACTCACTTAGGACCATGTACTACCTTTTAGCATAACTTTTAATTGTAGTGAACTGAAATTGAAGATACATTTTTTTATACGTATACATTTTTTTTCAGTCTATGATAAATGTTAGCTGAGTCTGATTGTAACATGCAGAACTGTTAGTGCAGGCAAATAATGGAGACAGAGCAAATGACTTGTTTTTTCTTTCCATTTTCAGGTGACAAGGATAGATGGGACCATGGAATCATGTCCATGCCTAAAGGTTACCCAGAGATCATTTGGATCACAGAACAGTTACACTGACATTACCTTCTACAGACTGAGCATGCCCATAGAGTGCGCAGAATCCTTCTCCAGATCCTCGCCCAATGGCAGCCTCTTCTCACTAAAGAGGGTAACTCATACACATAGATGTTTGTTTTCATTCATCGTGGGGACTTTTCAGTGACTTATATTCAATTCCTGGAGACACAGCAGTGCAGTGGTTAGCACTGTCGCTTCACAGCAAGAGGGTTCTGGGTTCTGACTCGGGGCCTTTCTGTGCAGAGTGTGCATGTTCTCACATGGGTTCTGCATGTTTTCACATGTGTGGTGTGTTCACGTGGGTTCTCTCCAGGTACAGTACCGGCGTCCTCCCACAGTCCAAAGGCATGCAGCTTAGGTTGATTGGTGACTCTAAATTGCCTGTAGGAGTGTGGGTATGCTTTGTGTGTGTGTGTGTGTGTGTGTGTGTGTGTGTGGTCATTTTGTCTACATGTCAACCCTGAGCCGAGTCCCCAGAGTGAGTAACAATGTTTTGGTCCACACAATGTGAATAATACTAGGAGCACACACACACACACACACACACACACACACACACACACACTCAAAAGCAATTCATGTGCTGTGTAGCAGATTCCTCTCTCATGCAGTATGCATTTTTTGATAGTTTATATACTGTATACACTGTATTGCCAAAAGTATTCACTCACCCATCCAAATCATTGAATTCAGGTGTTCCAACCACTTCCATGGTTACAGATGTACTGTATGTGTGTTTTCACATGGTGCTTGGGATGTGTATGAATAATTGATTATTCAGTTTGTCAAAAAGGTCAGTGTTGTCGAATATTGAAAAAATATCAAATCATTTTTGGACATGATTTTTTTTTACATCATAGAGTAATGGAATTAAGGTTTTTGACACTGTTTCTGCCTGAATACATTTATTTTTACATTATAGAGAAGCCAAAATTTTTTTTATGGTATTATTTCTGCCTGTGTGCTACACACACAGTTTCCCAAGAGAGCAGGTGGGAGCTCTGACGGCATGAAGTGAAATGTGACTTTATTTTACACATCAAAGTTGTGCTCATTATGCAATATGAAGTTATATTTCCACAATTCTACCAGCACAACGAGAAGTCATTTACAACATTGCCACAAAAATATTAAGCCTCAGCAGCAAAAAGACAAGATGGAGCAACAATTAAAAATGACTGGATTTGTTTGTAGCAGTGATGACTTCATGACTAATTGAATAATCAACTTTAAATGGACAGATTATTCATTTTCAAAAAATAATTCTAATGGCCATTCCTGTTTCATAGCACCACTGATTAGTTAGTCCAGTTATTAGTTATTATGATTTCCTAATACAAATATAGTACCTTGCAGTACCTTAACTATAACATCAGTGAGCAGATCTTGACAACATAGGTTAAAATAAAATGTTTGACTATGAAAACCCAAATTAAATTAAATATAATGTATATTTTTGTAGAACAATGTCTCCTCCCCATCTGACCCATTATATATCTCATCCTGTGGTCAACATGCAGAAGCAATTCAAATCTCAGCAAACAATTTCTAAATAAAAATTGACACTGAACCTTATGGGGTTTGTTTGTAGCTTGCTCAGTTTCCTACCAAGTTACAGTATGTGAAAAGGTGGCTGCCAATAACAGGAAAGTTCACTAATGTCTCAGGTTTACTTGCAAGTATAAACATTAAGGTTGGGTATATGGTGGAAATATGTGTGGTGTGTTCACTGTCTGCAGGATCTAGAAGATTTTGAAAATGTGTCAGACTTTGAGGTCCTGATGAAGTCACCTCATGGTCACAATGGTCCCAGTGGCCCTGAAAGAGATGAATTCAACAATCACAAAGATTATAACCAAGAGAAGCCATCTAAGCTTAAGCAACGGTAAACTCTTTGTTTCCAGTAGTCTTCTGCGCTGACTTTTGCACACTACTGCTGCTACCCAGTGTTTGATTACTATTTTAAACTTATACCAGTCATCTGTTCTGCCAGGTTCATGTTGAAGAGAAACAAACCAGACAACAGCTGTCCATCATCTGCTCGACTATCAGAGGAAGTGATGGCTGATGACAGAGATGATTATGAATTCCTCATGCAAGCCTCTACAGTAAGGCAATATGTTGTAAATTTAAAATAATACAAATAATTTAACAAAAGAGTTTTTAATACCCTGTATTCAGTTACTGTTTCCTAATGTGAGTATTATGAAGCCCTTCAAGAAAAGCAAGGGCAATGTAAACGTAAATTGCCTGCACCTCTCTCTTTGTGCAGCACTATTACTCAGTGCGGATCTTCCCTGGTCAGGAGCCCAGCAGTGTGTGGGTAGGCTGGGTAACCTCTGACTTCCATCAGTATGACCCAGGCTTCGAGCTGCACAAGGTCCGAACTGTCACTGTTACCCTGGGAGATGAGAAGGGCAAAGTTCATGAGAGGTTAGTCAAGTTCTAGCCAAATTGTAGCTTACGGTACATTCTTCCCTTGTTACAATGTTATGTGCATGCATGTGTCATGGAGGCCACATTCCTTCTTAAAGCTACACCACTTGATTTTAAAGATCAGCACACATTCAACCAGGCAGGAGGAGCTAATCACTTTAAGTAATTTGACTGCTTTAGTGAAATCTTTATTGCACACTTTGGTAAAAAAAATAAATGCAGTTTAATAATGTCTTTTTCGTCAGCACAGGTGAAAGATGACTTTATACCCTTCACAATCTATAGGATCCTTTATTATATGCCTAGCAACATACAAAATATTACTTTATATCTCATAATGACTAGAAATCAGCTGCAGAATGGAACAGGTTCTTTAAGCAACAATCCACTGAGTTTGTGTGTTTTTCAGATGTAATTGTAATGGGCCCTATTTTCACGGCAGTGCAGCAACCAGTACAAGCAAAGCTCTGACAGTTTGGTAGTTTCCTGAGCTTGAAATTTACTTTACCCCTCTGTGCAGTATTTTGATAACCTGTGCAGAATGTAAGGTGCACAGGTAGGATGAAAGGTCAAAGGTAACAATCAGCTGGGTAGTTCATTCAAATGACAGGAGTCGTTGGTATTTTAGAGGAAAATGTGTCTTAAGACTTTGCACTGACAACAGATGTCTCAGAACTATGTCTATTTCTTGAGCATGGTTTTATCAACATCAGCTAAGAAAATACTCAAAGAAAATGCAGACACACACAATTAAGTTCAAAACATAAATAAGTAATTTTCATGATGTTTATTTCCTAGCAATAGCTAAATAAAATCACCATAAAAAATAACATTTAATATTGCTAAATCAGAGACTAATCTGTTGGTCCCTGCTGCTGTATTCTGAATGAAAAGTGTCTCCTACAGTTCATTAAATCTCTGCAATCATCTGAAGGCTCGCAGGTCTCTCTTTGATAAATCTGCACAGTCTGATTTGAGAACTACCGAGCCAGAGTGCACTGACATTATGCATGTCCTTTCACTGTCTTTACCTGGTGTTTATGTAGGAGGCAGGCAGGAAAACAGCTAGAAAGTCACTCCATATACGAAAAGGGAGATCTTATTCTCAGCATAGATGAAAGTTTGAAGAGCTCAGACCAGGGCTATGATTCTTAGTTCAGGTTTTATTAATATTAAGTTCAGTTGCAAAGCAACAGAGGATATGAACAAATGGACAAAAGATTGTTAGTGTTTTCCTAACTTTTATACCCCTTACCTATACTTTGTTGTGTGACATAAACATAATCCATTCAAACCACATAGGTTTCTGCAAAGTAAATTAATCTAGCAAGGGCATTTCTTGCCTGAACCCTTGAACCCTTACACACTGCGTACATCTTTTCATTGACTAAAGAGCAGTCCAGAGGATACATCTAGAACAGACTGTTGTGGGTCCTTATGTTTTGCCCTACTGTATATTGCAACACTACCGAAAGATTACGAATGATTATAAAACCACCTAACAAAGAGATTTTCAAAGTGTGTGAAACTGCGCCTTCCCTCGGAGGACATCATAAAAACAGTGCCTCCCACACCCACTCCCCAAAATTAATACCTTATTGTTACTGTTGGTGTACCCCGCATTGAACAGTACTTCTTAAGAAGACTGGCATATCATTTGGGTGAAATCCAGCAACAAGTGATTAACCAAAGAGTGCAGGATATCAGCATCCCTACCAGTGAGGAGGAAGCAGAGGGTAGCACCAAACAGCAGAGTCAGGAGGGTGGTGAGAGTAGGCAGCCAAAGAAAGAGAAGGGTCCAGAGCAAAACCCCAAAGTAAATTAGCCTAGGGCTAGTGAGAGGGACATATAGACATTTAATTCAGATTTGGTATATGGTGTTGCAGCATTGAAAGGGACAGTTGAGAAGAAGCTAGAGAAAATGGGAGATGTAATTTATGAATAAGGAGTGGAAAGGTTTAGAGTTTGCGAGAGTAGAAATAAAGCAGCAGTAGAGATAGTAAAGTCAAGGTGGCAGCAGCAGATTGATAGGCTTGTTGAAGAACAAAGACAGCTTACAAAAGCAACAAAGTGAAAATAATTTGAAAAATGACCTGAAATCTAGGTTGGCAAATCTAAGGAGAGCAGAAAGATGGAAAAAGGAATGTGCTAGGGCAGGTTTTATAACAATCCATATATGTAGGTTCAATAAAACATTATTTAATAAGGAGAGAAAAAGGAATGTGCTAGGGCAGGTTTTATAACAATCCATATATGTAGGTTCAATAAAACACTATTTAATAAGGAGAGAAAAAGGAATGTGCTAGGGCAGGTTTTATAACAATCCATATATGTAGGTTCAATAAAACACTATTTAATAAGGAGAAAAATGGCACCTTGAAACTGCCTAAGAGACAACTAGAGGCTTACTTAGAAAAGATGCATGCAGATAAAGATGGGGACAGGAAGCCAGATCTGCCAGTAGATATGCCCCCCACTGGGGCAGTAGAACACCCAATGAACATCAAAGGACCAACACTGAAAGAAGTGGAAATGGTAGTTACGTGACCAAGAGTGTGCCCTATAAGCTATATGAATACACTACAGATATGTTGAGGTTTTTGCGGAGGTTTATCAGAGTAGCATGGAAGAAGCAGCTCGTCCCTAATTCATGGAGAAGAGCAGGAGGTATTTTTGTCCCAAAGGATAAAAGATTCGGTTGAAATCGGCTAGTTTAGGCCTATATGTCTTCTGAATGTGGAAGGCAAGATTTTCTTCAATGTAGTGGTCCAAAGGTTGTCGAGCTACCAAGAAAAGAATACGCTCACTTCAATGCAGAAAGCTGGAATAGCGGGTTTTTCTGGCTGCTTGGAGCACACAAGCATGATCTAGAATCAAATTCAGTCAGCAAAAATTATATTTACAATGTTGCAAATCACATTTATTCACATTAATATTTGTTTTTTTTCTGTTGCTACCACAGATCATTGGTGAATGGAGCTCTCAAGCTCTAGCTAGCAAGTGGCGTTAGCAGTTAGGGTGTGCAGAGCCACATACTGTAGAAGTAGCATCTATTCAAAACATTCACCTGTAAATTAGGTCAATATGTTAAAATATAAATGACCCTTTTAAATATGTACGGTGTAGCTTGGTGAGGAATGGGGGAGCTGTATTATGTATTTTTATAGCTAAAAACCACATGCTCTCCAAAAATAATTAAGCAAGCCAAGTCAATGGACAGAACAACACCACCGATGTTATCAGTTCAGTGATCACAGTCATAAAAGAAGAAGAAGAAGAAGCAGCTTTATTTTATTGTCCTTGTAACACTGTGACATGTACAATGAAATTTTGTTTGGAGCCGAGGGTCCCAGGTCACTGCGTGCGTATGCAGCGCCATCATGGGCAACTTTAAACTTGACTTTCAGCTCAAAAACACTAACTTTTATCCCGGATGATGGTTAGGGAAGCACGGGGTGTAGTTCCCCTTAGGTTATGACAGTGGAAGCACAGCTATACTGTCATTAGCTAGCACCACTGCAAATAACACACTGTGGCAGTGGAGCTTCATCAGGACTAGTCCATGAAAATCTAAATAATCATCATCTTACTTCCTCCGTTTTTTGGCTCACCCCAGACTCTGTCTCCTCTCTCACTGTAGGTACTACAAATTGATTCCTTTTTGCCTCACACATAGCCTAGTGGAGGCACACCTCACACTTTGAAAACCACTGGCCTAACAAGTAAAAAGCTGAGTAACTGGTACATGGTGTGTTTTTATGTTCTCCAGTATAAAGCGTAGTAACTGTTACATGGTGTGGGCTGGAGAGAGCAGCAGTCCTGGTCAGGGGAGGAACAACAATGGCTTGGAGATTGGCTGTCTTGTTGACACAACAAATGGATTACTGACCTTCACCGCCAATGGCAAAGAACTCAGCACATATTACCAGGTAAATTGTTGATATATTGCTACAGCTTTTTGAATGTTCCTTTTCTTTGACTCCTTTCTTCCTTTTGCGTTGTGTTTGTGTTTTGTTTTTTTCTAACATTGGCCCATCTCACTATAAAAGCTTTACGTGTCTGTTAATGACACACTGGCTCACCCACTCAGAGGTTAAGAACCTAACCTGCTTTCTTCCTTTCAAAGACAACAACAAAAATGTTCTTTGGTGATATCCTTTTTTCTTATGCTAAAACTTATGGACAGCGACTACTGCCTCTGTTTGAAAGCTGCCTTGCCTTGTATAATAACTAAAGACTC